GGGGGGGGTGGGGGGGAAAAGTCTTTGACTTTAATGTCACTTTAAGTGTTTGATATTTTTTGTTTAATGCATAATTAGTTGGACAAATAATACATGCGTTGAGCACTTAAATCAAGGATCACTTAGCGCTGCACTTTATTTATGATTTATTACAATATGTTTTTAATTTTTTTTATTACATTAGTTTAATTATCTAATCAAATGTTCTAATACATTTTGATAAAATAAAGTTCCATAAAGTATCCTTTGTGATCATGGATCATCTTTTTGTCGCTAGGAAATCTGAGAGAAAAAAGCGACTAGAAGCAGAAAAACTACCAGATGTCTCCAAAGAAACCTTTCATGAGGTAATCATGGACTTCAGAGAAGTGTTTGGAGCCTCAAAGACTCAAGACACAAAGGAGCCGAAGATGACATGGGACCAAGAGGTGGAGCTAGAGAAGAAGGAAACCGTTCTGTCCATGTCAAATGAGCTTTTTCCCTCCCAAAGCAAGAACACAGAGGAACCAGTGGAATTCACATTTTCATTTTTTGGGACTACTTCTGAAGGGAGTACGCCTAATAATGGTAAGAACACTGTAAACATAATTGTTAAGATTTCATACATGTTAGGTCTATGTCAAACAGGTGATTTGTAATTCCTTATTTAACGCCTTCATTACCAGGCCATCTTTCAGTTTTCAGTGCTGTGATAGTTTGACTGCGAATTACTACTGTACGTCGTACAACACGTTCCCAAATTAATCATTTTTTCAGGAAAGATGGAGCTTTCTTTTGGTTGTTTTTAATACCTGTTTTTTAATTACTTTTTACTATACAAGAATTTGAATAATTAAAAAAAAACATTTTCTTACATTCTCTCCATAAAACATAGCAAAATGTGCCAGTTCAGTGACTATACTCTAGAAATTACCCCTTTTTTAAAACTTAAGACACCAAGGTGATCTGATTTTTTTTTTTTTAATACTTTTTTGGGAAATTAATAAACATGTCAGTATTAAGGGGGTGAAAACATGGAGTTTGGTAATGGTGTTCTAAATACATTAAATGTACAGGTCATACACCGAGAGAGGCAGAGTTGAAGGGGTTAAAATACAGGTCAAATGTATTGGCAGGATGTAGTTGAAAGGGTCAATGTACAGATGTGCAGGATAAGGGCGTGGTTCCTGCCCGGAAGGCACTGGATCGCATAAATCAATCCTCCTGGGTTCTGGAGCGGGAGGGGGCGTGGTGGTGCCAGTCACGTCAATGGCACCACAGACACGCCTGCAGTGCGATCGCCCACAGCAGAACGCATGGTACAGCATTGCCCGCCATGCGGTGTGGTGCCCTAAAACATAAAGAGCCTGAGGCTTGTAATGTACTCCAACGTACCTGATTTTATAGGTAAGACTATTCTGTTTAGCAAGAAATAGTTTACATTTTTTTTAATCGTTTATATAAATTGCGTGTCTGAATAGCCTTCAACATGATTGATAATCAGAAATGTACTGTAGTAAATTTTACAATGCATAAAGCATGCTTAATGCTGTTTTAAGCAGAATTCTAAGACATAGTGTTTGGTGAATGTCACATTTATTGCTTTATAAATATGCCACCAAGATCTTTTTTTCATTTTTTACCATCTGACCTGAGATTGTACGTTCATATTGTAATGTGTGTGTGTGTGGCCAGGTCTAGCATATAGTGTTGGAAGAACTCTCTAGTTAAACATAGAATGGGAATAATGTTCATGGTCATGAATACTTCCAAAAGCAAATTAATCTCTGCAAGGTGTTGCAGCCAAATGAGGACTGGGGAGTCTTTAAATATTTGCAACCTGGCAGTGTCACGCAGGAGATTTCATTATAATTTAGGACATCAGCGTATGTGGATATAGATTCTTTTTTTTTCTTAATATATGCTCTCATAAATACCACATTATCATTTTATACTTTGTACAGTATTTGTAATTATACTGAGGTCTACCTACATTACAAAAAGACAACAGATGAATCTATGTAGCATTAAGTGACTCCTTATATAAGAATTATTTTGGATAGAAACAGAAAAAGAACTCTTGAATAAAAAATTGTAAACGACAGGTTTTGCTAACCTCTTTACACTTTACAGAACCCTATAAGACTGAGACAATCAAACCAGCTAAAGTTGCATGGCAGGAAGATCCCAGATTCCAAGACAGCAGCTCTGAAGAAGAAGATGATGAGGATGCAACTGTAGCTACAGAAAACACGACAAGGTGATTGCTAAAATATGTTTAGAATCTTAAGTTAATCTGCCTTCCCGGTGTCCTGGCCCAACCACTGAAAAAGTCATATCGATAGATAGATAGATAGATAGAGATATATCTAAGATGTGTCCATACATGCATGATTTCCAGATTATCCACACACAAAACAAGATTAAATTATTGACAAATGCATAATTAATATAGAACAATAGTATCCAAATCCACAGCAGTCATTTTTTAACCATTAAAGTGTAAAATAGCCTAACTGGCTATCGTATACTTAGTGTTGGTTGATTTACTAAAAGAATAGAGGCCACTGGCAAAGTGTATGTTCAGTTTTGAATCTAGTGTTGGTAAATAGGTTGAAAGTACGTGTTGCGCTAATATTGCGCAACATAAAAATTTGCAACTACCACCATTTTATTCTATAGGGTCTTGGCATTCAGAAAATATATAATGTTGGGGGGTTTTAAGTCATTTTCAGGCCTAAAATGTGGAATATAACATGGGTGCAAAAAATGAAAAAAGGGCCTCAGTCATGAAGGGGTTAAAGCCCAATCTTTTGTTTGTCAAATTATAGGGTGGTTGCTAGAACATATTTGGGTGATTGAAATGGTTGGTAATTCTATAACATTTGCTAACAACCTCACAGTGTACACATAAATTCACAAAAGTAAAAGATCATTCAGTGTTAGTGGGCTCTATGATCCATTTGCCTGTTTCTTGTAAACATACACAGCACCAGCAGATAGATCATATAGTCCCGACAGTGCTGCCTGTTCCTTGAATTGTTTACTTTTGTGAATGAACTGTCAGCACTGTTGGGGCTATGTATCTATGCCATAGCTTCGTATGTTTACTAGCAGCCACAGATAAATCACCCCCCCGACAACGCTGACTGTTCAATCGCGAAAGTAAAAGGTCATTCAGTGCTGGGGAAGCTGTGTGATCTATCTGCTGGCTTCTTGTAAACACAGAGCATTATATTTTACTAGTGCTTGTGTTGTGAATCGAGCTGTGCTGAAGTCGGGACTTGTCTCCAGCGTGCATCTACTGCAAGATACTATCACTGTACAGCCCAATTAGTTATCCATCTGCTTGTGAGCAACGTGGTTGAACCATGGTTAGGGGGGAGCTCAGCAACAGGGCTGCACTTAGGTGCCCTGGGTGATTTATCAATGTGATGATACTTCTTAAAGCTTTGAGCATTGATAGAGAAGATGCTCTATCCTTTAAGGTCTCTATTGACGTATGAGCTGCCTTTTAACCCATGCTAGCCTCTGCACTAATTTTCCACACTTTGGCTGACTGGCCTAAATTGCTAAGTGGGAATTTTGTGGCTGCTGGTGTTGACACTTATAATTCAGCGTGATGATCATCTGGTCAATGCAATCAATATGTGCGACATGGTGCCAGGTTAAGTCTTGTAACGTTTGTTTCTTCTGTCCAGATCCGCATGGTGCTCTGGCTTAACTGCTGATCGGCAGAGCAACAGTGCGAGAAGGCTTTGTAGTGACTCCTTCCTCCATCTCCACTTTCCACTGTATTCCCTCCCATTTCTCAGTAGCGCTGTGCAGATATTCTTCCAGCTGATCAGCGATTGTTCAACCTGTGTGTTATTCCCGTTCCTCGAACTAAAAAAATATGAAGGTTCTTATTCAAACCTGTTTACAGTTCCAAAACCCAATCTAGGCATTTACCCTGTTTTGGTTTCAAAGTCTCTGAATGCACTTAAATGTCCTTTTTCAAATGGTATCTGGTCAATTTCTTCCTTTCATTGTGGAGACTTCATAGCATCCATCGACATAGAGAGTGCATGTAGACACACTCAGTAGCTTCTTTGTTTTGCTGTGCACCACAATGCATTTGTGGCCCTCTCTTCAGCCTTGCCTTGGCCCCAAAAGTGTTCACAAATTTGTGAGAGCAACCCTTCCTGTCCTTGGACTCCAATGTATTATTCACAATGTGTTCCTTTTGAGGACTTCGGATGGATCCTGAACTTCATAATGTCTTCTCTGATTCTGTCACATCGCTTAGAGTACTTGGGCACTCTCCTGGATACCTTTTCAGGACACAATTTAACTGCCCCCGGAGAATTTGGCAAAACTGTAAATTCAGATTCAGCTACTTTAATTGCGTACTCTGTCTTCCATGCGGAACTGCATAAAAGTGCTGGGATTGATATTATACAGCTTCGAAGCAGTCCCATTTGCTTAATTCCACTCAAGAACCTATCAATGAAGCATTCTCTGGGAGTGGAGCAAATCCAGTCTTCCTCTGGACAAGATGACACTGTTTCATTCTTGAATCAAGAGGAGTTTTACAACTTCTGTCTAATGTTGGAGAAAGTGACACATTTTAAATAGCTAAGACCAAAAGTGTCCTGGTTATTTTCCTCTCATTACTTGCTAAAAAACTGGTGATTGCTGGGAAGGATGTTTATGGACTTTCCCACAGTTCTGTTTGCCAGTGTCCATTCACCTGAAGGTGGATGCATATAAACCAGGGACTAAGATTAAGTCCATGTCCTGTCCTGGAAAGTCAGGAAATCACTAGCACTCAGTAGTAAAGATAAATATGTCCCTTTTTATTGGACAGAAAGCATCACAGACATCCAAATAAACCGACGTTTCGGGACCGCGCAGGGTCCCTTCCTCAAGGCAGAAAGATGTGTGCCTTGAGGAAGGGACCCTGCGCGGTCCCGAAACGTCGGTTTATTTGGATGTCTGTGACGCTTTCTGTCCAATAAAAGGGACATATTTATCTTTACTACTGAGTGCTGGTGATTTCCTGACTTTCCTGTGTTTGCACGGCGCCATCCGTGGTATCTCATCACTGCGAGCACCATTTTTCTCATATCTGGCCGGGACTGCTGTGAGGAGTGCGGAGGGTCTCTCCATCTACTTACATGTCCTGTCCTGTACGTTAAGAAAAAGATTTTATAGGGAACTCCAATTATTCCTCCCTGAGTCAATAATGGGTATCTTTTGCACTTCTACGGTAGGTAGAAGTTCTGATCATGCTAGATTTAAAGCATTTCCAAACTCAAAAACAAAAATATTATATATTGAAGCCTTGAAGCTTTTATTTTAACCAGGTGATCCTGAGAATAACACTTTCTAAGGTGGCTATGCTTACTCCATTGTATATATGGAGATAGCTGTGGTTGTCACTAGACTGCTCTCCTGATTTGGATTACTAACTTCTAACTCCTCTATTTATGATCTCCATTACATATGGAAGCATCCTTTTGTAGTACACATATGTTAGCTGGAAAAACTGACAGGATTGTGTAATGTTTCAGTTCAGTGCACAGGAAGTTACAACCACACTGGAATTTCAGCAAGACAAAGTTATTTTTCTGCACTTGCAGTAAATGTATTTTGCATGCAAAATGAAAACGTATGTAAATACCACTTCTGGCGTGTGGTGCCTATCTACCCAGAGGCACTATATGCAACCTTTTGCTATTGTTAAAGACCACTTCTAAAAATGGGTAAGTGACCATATATTTAATGTTTGTTTTAGGGCTTAGATATCCATTAAAGTGACTCTGTCATTAAAGAAGTATGAGGGCTGCTGCCCTTTCTGGCTTCCTTTTGAAAAGGCTAGTTGTCTGACTAAGGACTTTTAAATCACAGATCTAGAATAGGCTGTTCTAAAGGAGTGTCAGTTCCTTTTATCTCTATAACATTTCTGTGTATTGAAGCCAAAGCTGCTGGATGACAGTGAGGTATCCAGCATTCTTAAAAGGAGTTTTCAACAATGGCAGCCTCCATAGACTCTCATGACAGAGTCTCTTTAAGGGGGCAGTCGTTCTTCAAACTACAAATATAGACAGTAACTTAACATTATGCTATTTTTATTTTTTTTTCTTCTTCCTGAAGTCGACCAGATGTAAGCACCGTTCGTTTTTTCTTCTTTGTGAAAGATGATCAACGGTTAAAAAGTAAGTGTGCCTTTTGTGTTATTCACTAAAGCATGTTAAATTTGTAATACGACATTTAGGTTTTTTACAAAATTCATAAAGTTAAATAGTTGGATTGAAAAAAGACAAACGTTCAACTAACAGGGTAATTATGTTGAATTGCATTTTGTGATCTTAAGCTTATTTTCTGCAGTTGTTTTTTTTTTTTTTTGAATAGCTTCTTCTAAAGGGTATATTTATTCTATCGAACATTTTACAGACGTTCACCCAAGTAGGATTCAAAAGAATTTGCCAGCATTTATGTATCATTCAGCTGTAAGTACTTGAAGTCCTTTTAATTTGAAGTTCCAGTGTTGAAAGGGGGTCAAATTTTCAATGAAGTTTGCTTCCTTAGAAGACGGAGAGGAATTTATTCATAATATAAATTAAATTCCTTTCCGTCTTCTGTGGAAGCAAAATTGTGAAACTTTTCAGAAATCTGCTCCCTTTCCACCAGTGGAACTTCAAATTAATAGGCCTGCAACTGTAACATGTCCTAAAAGATAGTGATGTTGGTAAAAGGATGCTATAGCAGGGAAAGTGATTACTAGAAACACGGCAGCCAATTCACTGACTTTGTATATTACCTATTTCACCTGTAACAAATCAAGTTTTAACAGTTTTTGTAATAAAAAGCATATTTAGTTAGTAAGGAATTCTAGCAAAATGTCAATGGTCTAATGTTCAACACCTCTTGGTTATAGTTGGTCCGACAATGTTCTTACGGTCGTCCAATACAGAGCAAGAAGAAGAGGCCTGGGAACAGAGAAAAGATGTTCTTCTAGAGGTATTGTCTTAGCACAATGGGAAATTCCATCTCATTTTCAGAAACATTATGTTGTTAATTGCAAGGAAAAGTATGCACAATCTCTGCAAGTAAAGGTAGAAAATTATTTATCTAGATGTGTGTATTTATATCATTTTAATTAAAAGATGAGTTAAGCATTTTATAAAAAATTTTTTTTTTTTTTTAGTATCTGCTTTGCGAACAAATCCTAGACCTTACAAGGTGGAATTTTTTACATTTCCATATTGGTATATTTTCACTAAAGCATCTTCTTAAATGTTTGGCTGAATGGTTTGTGTGAGTGTGGGGAATTTTTCCTATATGGCCTATTTTAACCACAGTCAATATACACTCATTGTCAAAAATATTGGCACCTCTGCATTTCTGCCAAATAATGCACCACTTAGTGCAAAACATTGTTGCAATTATTACAAATGTTTAAGCATTCTCATGTTTATTTTGTCTGTATTGGTATGACACAAAAAAGTGGAGAAAAAAAGCCAAACCTGACGCATTTCATGTCTTAACAGAAAGCTTAACTGCTCCTGCTCTGCAGAGACAGTCATGAGTACCCCTAATGAGATATCCCTCACCACACATGGTGGATCACAGATGCAGTAAGTGTAGGTCAGCGGGCCATGCCATCTCATGCTCTGCTAATGGATCACGGGGGTCTTGCAACTTTTCACCTAAGGGACCGGGTTCTGGTGGAAGAGTCATTACCCCTCGTGAGACCTACTTGTCCCTCTCTGGGTTGATCCGCTGCTCCTGTTTTTCCAGAGAGGAGTTTTCAGCTTTTGTGTCTGAATATATGGGTATACTTCAGCTCTCTTGGAATCTTCGGACTGCAGGGATTACAAGTGGGCCCCCTCATCCTTCCCCTCAGAGTCCATATCTGGATTTTTTTCTAGCTGCTTCTATGTTTTCTGAGGATTAGAACAGAGGTAGTACAGCTAGACACCCAATCAACTGATCTTTCTCCAAAACATAAGGATGCTGTTGGTATCCTTATTGAAGCCGTGTGCATATGTCTTCTCTGACGGGGCCTACTATGTACACTATGTTTTAGGCATGTCAGTTTGCCAAATCCTAGCTGTCGGGTCAAAATCCGTGGATTAGTGTTCCGTATCTGTACTAATGGATCCATGTATCCTCCCAACGACTTGAGCTCCTCCTAACTGTGGCTTTATGCTACGGTTTTAATGGCTTGGTGGACTCCCCCCAGGATAGGCCTCCTGCTTTGTACAGGGGCAAGATTGTGTGTGTGTGTGTGTGTCGCTCGCTTTATTTTTCAGAAACAGATGAAGATGAAGGTGAAGATAAAGGTTCACCTTAATTTTGTCTATTTCTGGACCATATCAATTTTGATTAATTGTGGTTCATTATTGGCTGTGGCATTTTGTTCCTTTTAGTATACACAGAGCTAAAGTAATAGATTTCCCTTCTCTTTGCCCCTGTCGCCACCTCTGGGTTATCTTGTAAAGGTCCTACATGCTCAGACCTAATCTTTTTACTATTAATACAGTGTCAAGAAAAAGTATGTGAACCCCTTGGAATTAACTGGTTTTCTACAGTAATCGGCCATAAAATGTGATCTGTTCCTCATCTAAGTTACAACAATAGAATAACACAATAAGGGGAATTAATCAAAACTGGCGAAATCAAAATCAGCATCCACCTTTTCATTTTCAAAGCTTGACTGAAGAAAGAAGCTGATTGGTTGCCATAGGCAACTGCTCTGGATTTTGTCTGCTCCAGTTTTGATAAATTCCCCCCAATGTGCTTAAACAAGAACTATTAGTTGAGTGCTTTTCACTCACCTCATAGTTCTAGCCGACCTGTGACAATGAGACTGTCACAGGTCGGCTCAGTAGATCGGGAGGTGAGCGAACACATACCGGCGTTCGCTCACCTCTCGATCCTGTCACGGCTCTCTGCCGTGACGGGAGGGGCTGGATTCCCCCCTCCCTGCTCTGATCCGCCAGCGCTGACTGGCGGAACGGACGGGGGAGGGGGCGGGTACAGCTGGCTCTGCCTCTAGATAAGCAGAGCCAGCTGTCAGTCACGCAGCTGGGCGGATCCCGGCACAATTGTCGGTATCCGCTGTAGCTCGCAGTATACTGAGCCTAGGGTGACGGGAGGACGCTAGTTTGTGTCCTCCCGGTACCCTAAGGAGAGCTATGGGGAAAAGCCCTTACCCCATAGTTCTCCTTTACTAGTTTTCTACATTAATTTGCTATAAAATTTTATCTGATCCTCATCCAAGTCACAACAATAGACAAACACAAAAATTAGCGTGATTTATCAGAACTGGAGCAGAGAAAAGCTGGAGCAGTTGCCCATGGCAACCAATTGGCTTCTATCTTTCATTTTCAAATCTTAACTGAACAAACCAAGGAGAGAAGCTGATTGGTTGCCATAGTCAACTGCTCCAGATTCTGACTGCTCCAGTTTTGATAAATTCCCCTCACTGTGCTTAAAGGAGAACTATGAGGTGAGTGCTTTTCACTCGCCTCATAGTTCTAGCCGACCTGTGACAATGGGAGTGTCACAGGTCGGCTCAGTAGATCGGGAAGTGAGCTTTTTCCTTCAGCACTGTTAATGTTTAATGAGTGTGTTCAATAAAGACCTAAGAAATTAGAATTGTTTGTGTGTTATCAGCTTAAAGGAGAACTATGGGGTCCACCTTTTTTGCATCATAAGCGTGTAATTCAGTGTAATATACTGTGGGCAGAGCTTAGCTCTGTGCTGAGAAGCAATCCGGACAATATTGTCGGGATCCTCCCATTGAGTGACAGAGAAGGCTTGTAGGAGCTGCTGTGCATTCATGGATACCTGTGCAGGCTTAGCAGCTCAGGGCACCTCCTGTCAAAGTTTATTCATGTCAGATCTAACAAACACTTGCAGCTCTGTCCCCGCCTCCCCTCCACGCTGCTGTCTCGGGACATGCAAATCAGCAATAACACATGCTGTGGATCTCCGTCCCCCGCCATGCTGCTGTCTCTCCTTCTCCCTGTCTCATCAGAAATAACACAAAGGAGATCTGTAGCAGTGCTTCAGTGACTGGCCAAGGTAAGATCAGTTACTGAAGCACTGCTACAGATCTCCTTTGTGTTACTCCTGATGAGCTGGGGAGAAAACCGAGACCGGGGGGTGGATGAAGCTGCAATGCCTGTGTTATTGCTGATGTGTATATCGCGAGACAGCTGCGCGGGGGGGGGCGGCGCTCCACTTCCTGTGTTGTTGTGTAGGTCCTGAGACAACAGCTTGGAGGGGAGACAGGGACAGAGCTGCGGGGATAGATGTGCAAGTGTTGGTAAATCTGACATGAATAAACTGATGGGATGTGCCTTGAGCTGGTGCGCCTGCACAGGTATTCATGAACGTGCAGCAGTTCCTACAAGCCTCTGTCACTCAATGGGAGGAAAGAAGAGTAGGGAAGATTCCAACAATATTAGCACACCACAGAGCTAAGCCCCGTCCTCAGAGTATTACATTGAATTGTAAGCTTATGCTGGATGTTTGATTTAATGGGGTACATTGCAAATAATGCTCCTCTATCATTAGGAAAATAAAAATGGAAATTTTTTTTTACTTTTTTTGCAACATTTGACAACAACTCACAACTTTAGAAAATTAACTTGAACAATCTGTCCCAGATTTAATGGCACCAGGAGATTGTATCTAATTAAGATACTTTCACAAAATGTCTCAATTCCCATCATGTTCTTGAACAATTAACCTCTATTTGAATGCATTCTATGCTAATTGGATTAGGGTGGCTACCCATTAACCATGTGACTATAAATGGTGGGAAAGAAACAATTTCAGATCGGTACAGTTGAATATAACCAACCACTACTAGCTATGCCAACCTTCACAGAGACATTATCATATGTTAACTCGTGCATTTTCAGTGCAAACCTAGCCTCAGACTGAAGTCCATAATAGAGCTGTCTACCCAGTGAACCTTTACAATTATTAGAAGCACAGCAGAGTTTGTAATGTGTAAATTTCATATCTAATGTATTTTTTTTTATTTTTTTTATAGGATTGCAGAAAGAGACACAAAGATGCAAAGAGGAAAATGAAAGCAAAGAATTAAGACTGCATCACTGGGATTTACTATCCACATGTGTGCATAGTATCGCAATACAGCCTTTATAAGGACTGCACCATTATAAAAATACTTCACCTTTGGGCTCTGTGTGAGTCATGCAAAGCCTTTTATATTGCTTACTATGGAAGAAATGTAGTGTATATCCCAGTTGTTCCTATTACAAGAGCTATTATTTTTTTTACATGAAAATAAATAAAAGTAACAACTGACAAGTTCTTTTTTTTAAATCAGATCGTGTTTATTAAACATTTTTGCACAAACAGATCCCAAAACTGACAATTACATAATACAGACATAATAAAAGAAAAACAGAAAACACCAAAAAACACAGAGCTTTAACCAAGTATCAAACTAGCACCCCACGGTGCGCAGACCCAAAGGAGGTATACAATGACAGAGGTATTATCGTACAGGTCAAACGTAAGGCATAGAGTTATAGTAGGCATTCACCTATGTATACAGAGTAGTATCATTGTGAGACAGATCTTTAATACCCTTTAATACCAAAGAGGGTAACCGTACCCATAGAAACGCTGTAACTACTGGGATCTGAAGCTCAGCCAGGGGGACCAATGTCCACTCGGGAGAAAAACTGGGGGGAAAAACTCCTCTGGAGACTCCGCCCCCGGAGATGGTAAAAACCATGAGAGCTGCAAAGGTAATTGCCACCAAACCGTGGGTGGGGACGCCCTCGTCTGGATATACGGTGTGTGGAGATCCTCGGAATATGATCAATCCGCAACCAGCGTTGGATAAGAGGAAGTAACCCAGCTGTTACCACAGGGTGCACCGCATCAGGTTTTGGGCAGGTTCCTCCTCGTAAATTTATCCAGCCAGAAGGAAGCTTGAGAGGGAACTTCAAAGAAATGGGTCTCACCGTCAGCCACGACTCGAAGCTTGGCAGGGTAAAGCATCGAGTAGGGAAAACGTAGCTGCTGAAGTCTTCTCTTGACATCCTGGAATTTAGCACGCCTTTTCTGGATTTCTTGGAAAAAAAAGGGAACAGCATAATCTTCGATCCTGCAATGGAAAGCTCGCCCATATCTCTGGCTTTACGCAGGATACGTTCCTTGTCTCGATAGTTAAGCAAACGGATCAATGAAGGTCTGGGTGGATTACCAGGGGGGAGAGGTCGGGCCGGGACCCTATGAGCCCTCTCCACCGCAAAGAGTGAGGATAGTAGATCTCTACCAAAAGTCTCAAGTAGCCAGGCTTCAGCGAATTCCGTTGCATCGTTACCCTCCTGACGTTCAGGAATTCCCACCACACGCAGATTGTTCCTGCGTAGACGATTTTCCAGGTCATCAGTTTTGTCTGAGAGAGTAGTGGTACGATGCAATGCAGATTTAACATCAGTTACCAGGGGGGTAGCAAGATCCTCTAGATCACTGACCCTGCCTTCCACCGCAGTTGTTCTTTCCCTGACCTTTTGTAGATCATGTCTTAGAAATGTGATGTCGGCACGCATTCCCTGCACCTGATCCGTCAGGGAGGCAAGAGAAGAGTTGCATGTCTGAATAGCCGAATATATATCTGACATGGTGGGTTCACGTACTTTAGTTTTTGTTTTGTGTGGTTTGGGACTCTTAGCACGTTTGGGTGCAGTACCCACTCTGTCCACTGATTCCTCCTGGCTGTCTGAGTCAGCCCGTTGTGAGAGAGAGGATGGAGACTGGGCCGTTAACCCCTTGTAGTCATCACAGTCAGGGCTGGGAGCTAGCTTAGCTTGCTTCCCCGGGGTCCCAGTGTCCCTGGCGAACCTCTCCAACTGAGCCACAGTGTCCCGGCTGCGTTCTCGTGCCGCCTTGTCGGGTGTAAGGATGGGGCCGCGTGCGCCGCCGCCGCCATCTTGCGGAAGGCCGGCCGATGCAGCTGTCTCCTTCTTACCCGTTTTCTTCATGGCACCGCTGCAGGGATCGAGACCGACGCTATCAGGACACCCGGAGGACTGATGGAGCAAGTTGCGGATCGCAGGTAAGCAGATTGAAGCCTGCAAATCGAGGATCTATCAGGATCTTTGTAGAGAGCTCTCCGCCGCACGTCCTTCTACATCGAGCCCCAGGCCACGCACCCCAACAACTGACAAGTTCAATTTTTTTTTTCTATACAGAACTTGCCTCTTGAACTGTGAAGATGTTTTGAAACGTATATTCTAAATGCAAGTCAAACCAATGGCATTGATCAAATATTTTATTTGATTATAAGAAAACATTGCTAAGCCATATTTAAAAGCACTTGGCTGGCTACAAATTTGATGTAATTTCAGAAAAACTACAACTCTGTCTGTGAAAAAAAACATACTGGATTGTCATGACTGCAACAGTATGAATAAATAGATACAATCTCCTAGAAATAAAATCTATTAAAGTAAATAAAAACTATTAGGTTCCCTGTGTGAGCTTTCTCTTGAAACACTTCTATCACTGTCATCTGTTCTACAAAAGTATTGAAGCAAGGCCACTAGTGTCCTCAGGAGGTCGACAAGGATAGGCACTGTATTTTGCTTATGACAGGTGTACATTAAGGATGTCATTAGTGGTTGGATATAGACAAAGCATAGTTTCCAGGTGATGACTTTAAGCAGGAAGACTGATGTAAAAGCTGAGTATATTTAACTTAATTGAACCTAGTGCCTGCACAAAAACCGTAAGTGTAGGTCCAGAGATACTTTTATTGATTAACAAATAATCGTTATACATTTTAATCGCATTAATTATATATACTGCGTATAAAATATATATTTCTTTCTGGTCTAATGAGAAGAATTCAGACATTATTGGGTTATACTGCCACCTTCAGCAGAATTGGACACTGGCAAACAGAAAATTTGTAGGCTAGTCCAGGATAACCCCTCCTCTGTCCAGCATGCCTCTTTGTTCTGCTAGTGTCCTAGGAAGATGGACATCTAATCATTTTTTTGTATCCTTTTTTCATCGGTTGGATTTCTTTTACTACTTAAATCAAGATTCCTCAATACATCACTTTCAAATTTCCCCCTACTGCTGGTTTTGCTGTGAAATGGTTAATGCTGATTGAATGAGCGCCAATGGGGGGAGTGTTTGTACCCACATACTCTCTTTTCCACCATTCATGTAGGGGAAGCATTCTCTCACTGCTGCTCCGGCTTTACAAAGCACCATGTGGAACTCCGATCTCACGCTTTGTGCCTAGTTGCATCACACACACCACGTTTGCAGCACAGGTTCGGTGTTCTCTTCCTTGTGAAATCATTTACTTGCATAGTGACTTTTCTATCCAGGTCTTGAGCATTAGGTTAATTCTCCATGCTCTCCCTCTTTGCCCTGGTCATGTTGGTAGGTTCCCAATTTCAGTAGGGCTTTGGCCTCATTCAGTTTCAGATTTGGGCCTTCATCCTTCAGGTGGCTTCTGGGCTGTCACAGTCTCAAAAAAAAAAGTATTTCCTCATCATACATTATAGGACACTGTATTGAAGAATATTGGGTTATGCTGCTGCCTTTAGGAGAACAGATACTGCTAAACGAGCTGTGAGGGTAGACTATAATAACCTCTCTCACTCCCAGCAAGCCTCAGGTTTTTGCTTTCAATATTCTTCAGTTGCGGTGCAGCCACTTTTGCTGGGTTTATTTGCAACTTTCAGATTGGCTACTTCTTGACTTTGTCCTGCGCGGGCCATATACTGACCCCACCAGGAAGAACCTGGCCTACAACCATCCAGCAGCTCAGGGAAGGTGATGCTCTTGTCTGAGTTACACCCTTTTGGCGAATCCTTGGACACCTATAATGAGGAAGTCACTGGAAGGAATGTGTACACCAGGGGTAGCCAAACTCCGGCCCTCCAGCTGTGGTGAAACTACAAATTCCATGATGCATCTCTCTCCGGGAGTCATGTCTGTGGCTGTAAGAATCTTGTAATGCCTCATGGGATTTGCAGTTCCACCACAGCTGGAGGGCCGGAGCTTGGCTACCCCTGGTGTACACTTATGTCCCAGAAAAAGAAGGCAAAAACTCCAGCAGATAAACCTGAGACAAGAGTTCCTTTTGGATTTTCTTAGACCTTCCAGTCTAAGGCCAAGCCTGGAACTCGGCTCTGCCATAAGACCTGGAACCACAATCCACCAAGTTCAGACACAAGCCCTTTTCTCAATTGGGGTCCACATGTCGGAGGGGGGTGGAGAGTCTGCATTCATCGGGTCCCAGGATATTTGAGATGCCTGGGTCTGGAACATTGTATCTACGGGATACAAATTAGAATGTTTCAGTCTGTCTCTACCCAATTTCATGTTGTCAAACTTACCAACATCTCTACAAATGTGGGTGGACAGTCACGCTGCTCTCAAGGTGTCATAGCCATAGTCCAGTAGAGTGTTAGTTTCTATTTACCGTCCCCACAGCAGAAGAAGGAATCTTCCTCATATTGGCTGTAAAGAGTCTCAACAGTTCCTTTTGAGCTGAAAAATTCTGTGTATAATCCACCATAATTGCTTCCCTCCACTTGGGGGAAAACCTGGTCTCTGTGGATATCAGGGAAGCGTACTTGCATATCTTCATTTTCCTGGTGCATTAACCCTTCATGCATTAAGCTATGGGCATGCAACATTACCAAATTTGGCTTGTGTGCTGCACTGCCATAACAATAGACTAATGATTTTAGGGTAGTTTTTTTAGAATTATGAAGAACTAAATCAGTCCATGATTATTCAGCAATGAAGAATGGCAACCAGCAATAGAGGAATATAGATCCCATCAATCCATGATTATACAGCAATGGAGAATGGCAACCAGCAATCATGAATTGCTGAGATTTGTAGTCCTCTAAAGCCGGTTGCCATTCTTTATTGCTGCTTTTTGGTCTCACCAGGGTTGCATTTCGGTCTTGCAAGGAAATCGTGTAGATCTCCCAAGGGGCTGCATGTTGGTGCTAGGCTCCCAGGGCTCTGTGCATAGCTGCCGGCTCTGCGGGAGGGTGCCGAGTTCTCCAGGGCTAAATGGGTGGATGCTGCGCTTGTGCCAGGCTCCAGGGCTGTACGTTCAGTGTGGGGCTATCCTTTGTAGTGCCGGTCTCAGGAAAGAGCAGGAGGTGATGTTCGGCCGGACCTGCACTGTCAAAGAAAGCTGCCTAAGGTCCCCAGCAAGCACAGGACCTCAGGCAGCCACTCGCA